GAAAGTAAAATTTTTCATAATTAATTTGGTTTTGCTTCAAAAAATCTCACTTTTGAAGGTGTCTGTATACTTTATAAGTGGTATAAATTTTAATTCCAAATATTCATAACTTTTTATTCATTCCCATTTGCTATGCAAAAAAAGCTCTTGCCAGATTCTAAATGCATTTTTCTTGAGACGTCGGAGCAGAGACAAGTCTTGTCTCTGGTCGGAGAAACTTCTCTGAGACTGTTTTTTACAGGTAAAAAGTTATACTACAACGTACAGTAAATGACAGTTTCATTACTGACTTACCAAAAAAAGTTAGGATACCATTTTCTTGAAACAAAACTAAATTAATTATTGAAAATTAACAAAACGCTTAAATCGACGGTTTTTTTTTCAATTCTTGAGTAAACTAATGAACGGATTTTAATATAGTTTATCTGATATCATATGTATTTTTCATACTTGAAAGGAAAATAAAACTTTTTTCTATAGCATCAACGGTTCAACAGTTATTCACAAAAAACCGGCTGTCGCACTTTCTTTAATTATGTATAAATATTTGTTTATAAACAATGTTCCACAGCCGGAAATCGGGCACAAACTATTGTCTCAATATTCTAACATCCTTCCGAACAACTTCCAATAATATTTTACCATCATATTTTCAGTGCCCGAAACAGGCCTTTTAAAGTCTAATCCGACTGGACTCAAAATACGCTTCAGTCCGGTGTCAGGTACAAACCAATATTTATCATGGGCCAAAATAACATGTGACAAAAAATCACAGATACTTGGAACACGTACGAGCTTGGAACAGTCACACATGGAAACTGTGACTGAAAAATACTGTTTCGTGTCATCTCTATTATGGACTAGCGCATATATGCGAACTTGACTCGCTGTTTAAATGACATGCGCAAGTTAGTTTGAGGTTACGTTAATCAAAACACTAACCAACTATATTTAGGAAATATTTATCACTGTAGGTTTAATATAAAATCTCAAAAGCACGTTTATTTTCATAGATGAAACACACTGTCTGAATCATAAAAATTTTATGACAGACGTTTGCTTTGCTTAACGTAACCTCAATCCAACTTGCGCATGTCATTTAAACAACGAGTCAAATTAGCATATATGCGCTAGTTATCTTATGGGCGTCCTTGTTCCGCGTTTCGCAGGTAGCGCTACAACTGGCTGACCGGCGACTGACGGCACTGAAATATCGACTTTTCGGCCGAGAAGTTCTGCGCATGAACGAAACGTGCAGGACATAGAGAAAATAAAACAAACGTCGGTTTGATCAGTTATGTCCTTTTTCAACTTGCGGCGCAACGCAGTTGGATATTATTCCTTAATTGCTATGTTGTCTTTGCTATATGAGATTAACCTAAGAATTAGTTTTAACCTTATTTTAACCACGTTTCCGATTGATCGGCCGAGTTAAAATAATTTGATATTTCTAATACCTGCACGGGTATTAATTGCATCTTAACATAGTAGTATTTTTTGTTTATCTATTTCTTGTTTTTGTATTGGTAATGTACATCATCAAACTGCACAAATTTCTATATTAAAAAGAGTAATCTTGAAAACTACGCAAAAAACCGGTATTCAAATTCCTTGATGGAATTCTTTGTTCTGAAAGAATGGCTTAGAATTAGGACTTTCCCTGCCCAAATTTTTTTTTATTTAATAGTTCAGCATGGAACAGAATCTTGCAACACATAAGGAGAATACTTCTGGTGGGAATTCCTACTCCGATAAGGCACAAGTTTTGCTGCCCAGTTCTTCCTTTTGGGACCATTTGGAAGACAATTTACGTTTTATTACTTAGCAAATGTCAACTTACACAATAAATGTTATTTTATTTTGATTTAGGTATATATTATTTCATTCCCTTTCATGGATCCCCATAAATCTGGATCTAAAATTGATCTGATTTGATGATTGATTCTGAGTGTTACAAATTCTATGTCCTTACACACTGTAGTCTCGGTTCATTATTAATGGAAATAGGAATTGGTTAGCACCCTATCGAGTAAACAGCACATTTTCTATTACTATAATAACCGAGATGTGCGAATGTGCAGGCACCGAAATTTGTGTATCTGGAGTATTTTGTACCTTTCGAAATTTAAAATTTCCGCCTCTTACTAGCCGATAATCTAGATACCGGTTTTTCCCGTCAAAGCTTGAACTTGGCATAGCTTCATTTCGAAATTTTGTACGTATAAAAACGGGTTGGTTCAATGGAAAATCTTTGGGATCTTCACGGTTTGTATTGACTTTATTTATGATTTTTTCTT